AATAAGCGCGCTTCCCTTGCAAGTGCAAGGGCGAAATTAATACCCGGAAAAAAAAAAAAAAAAAAAAAAAAGAAGAGGCAGGATTAACATGTTATAAACTGCATGTAATTATTACTCTACCACATTTATATACAAATGTAGCTGACATTTGGACCATTAAGTTCATTCTCTGACATATTTGAATCTCAACAGCTTGCAGTAAGCCACCAAGGTATCATCCTCCAGCCCTTAGCTCAAATACCTTCTCTAAGTAGCTTGGTCAGCACAATTTACTACCATGCAACTAATCATTTATACTGTAATGTGGAAATTATAAAGCCTATTCTATACTTCATTTGTTTGTTGAACATTTGAAATATGTGTACATTCCACTGAGTTATTTCATGTGTATGAAACATTGTTCCAGGTTGAAAAAAAGCATATGAGCAAAACAACATTCATCAAGGTTTGAGGGGTTAAGGCCCCTATGCTAAAAATAAAAATCCTTTATTTTCCATCATTAGGACTGATTATTTTTATTATAGTGCAAATATCCTTAGGATGGGTTAATATAGTTAATACTATGAATAGCAGACTATTTTCTTATCCTTAGGAAAGCAGTAACTTAAAAAGTTGTAAGCAGAGATGCACTTTTAGCCTGGAAAATGAGGAGAGGATGGATGCAAATCCTGGAGAGCTATCTGGAGAGGAGAGGTGGAAAAGAGAATGAAGGCCCTGGCTGTTGAAAGAGCACAGAACCAAAGAGGGAATAGGCAGAAAGACGTGCAAGGCCGCGAACGACTCTGCACTACAGGCTTGGTCCTGGGAGGTTATGAGAGACGGGAGAGGCACTGAATACAAGTGCGGCCACAAGAGTGAAGGGAGAAGGAGAGAACCCTGCTCCCCGCAGCACACTTTTGAACTGCTAAAGTAATCTGCTAACTTACTAAGTTTTTTTACTTACTTATATGACGAGTCACAAGATGGTTCACTTCTCTGCACTGCAAGGAGATTTTGTAGACAGAAAAAGAAAATTACTGTTCATTGGTGTCTTTCACATACTACTTGCAAAAACGTCAATCAGCATTTCTTGGTAGGTTTTTATTCCCTGCTACCATTTTCTCCGTTTCGACCTTCCATGGGTCCTGGGAGCATAAAGTGAACATTAAAACCCAGGCACTCTCTTACCTTGCTCCCCGTGCTGCACACATTCTGCGCTCAGGAGCACACAGTAGCGTGCAGCTCCACAGAGGCATGTTTTTCAGCTGTGCTTTTACTATGACCTTTGTCTGAGGCTTTAATGGCCCTCTTTTAACCTTCTCCTTTAGGATTTGTTTAGTTCATGTTGCCTCCTCCAAGAAGACTTTAGTCTGCCTAGGCACCTCTGTTAACGCTCCAGAAGCACTCTTACAACCTTCTGTTGTAGAGCTTACTGTGCCGTACTGTAATGATGAGATTGTAGAGTTTACAACATATCAAGCACTCAGTAACACGTACTTGTTGAATGAGTTGTTTGCTAGTCTTCACATCATTCGTCTTTCCACTCAAACACCATCTAACATTTTTGTGTGCCATCTAGACCTCTAAGAGAATTTTACAAAATGTTTCTGGGTTATGATATTAAAGCAAGGCTTTTTGTTTGTTTTTTTAGTACATGTCCATTGGAATATTAGCATAGCCTGCGTCAATTATGGATGAACCTTACTACATGAAAATCTAGCCAAATAGAAAGTTCTGAATAGAAATGAATATTACTAATTAGAGCTCAGCTCAAAGTCAAAGTGATTTAGTATTTATTCTTTTCTTCCAATAAATGTAAAACATATAATGAGTAGCCAGTAAATTGTAACAATCAGTGTTGGGGATGCAGCTCAGCAGTAGAGTGTTTGGTCAGTATGCATGAGGCCTTGGGTTTGATTACCAGTAACACAAAAGGTTCCAAAGCTCTGCTTAAAATGTTTTACTTATTTCTGCATACTTTTTTGAGTTTCTTTGCATATGAGTATCTTTTATATAAGTTTCTGGTTTTGGAAAATAGGATCTGAAATAGTGTATTAGCCTGAGAAATACTGCATTTCTCAATCAACAGTGATTCCAAACACTGTTAGTACACCTCTTTCTTCTCATTGAATTAAGCAAAAGTAGCTGTAAATTTATCCTATTTTGTATATATAAATACAAAATGATCTTTCCTTTGTATCCTTTTTTCTTTTTTTTTGTCCTGTCAGATGTGAATATTCTATTGGTATCTAAATACTATAGGTGTCTGAATTCAACTAAACAATCTAACACTGTCTAGCAGTCTATAATATTAGTGGGTTATCCTCAGAGGTTATTGACTTGAGCCTTTTACAGCTCATCGTATTAATACGGATTTACTTTATATACCTCGTTTTTATACTTTTCTGCTGGATGGTTAAGACTAAGATATAGCA